GCATAGGGGGTTAATACCCGATCGTGGTCCAGAATACCCGATCGGGTATTTTCACTCTCCGGCCGGGACCCCTTCTGCCTTCTTTGCGTCCAAAAGCACGAATCCCCGGCCTTCTTAGCATTTTACCCGGCCGAGTATTTTAACTCCTGGCCGGGTATTTTGCTCTTCTAGCGCCCTTCACTCGTTTCCTCGCCTTCACGTCAACGCCAAGTCCTGAAATATGACATAAACACACAACCTAGCGTGAAATCGGTTTAAAACACGAGAATCGACTCTCAAACGGCTCAAGAATGGAGGTATAAACATGTGCAATTAATGGTCTATCAAATTCCCCCACACTTAACCGTTTTCTTGTCCCCAAGCAAACCTAACTCAAACCAATGCAGCTCTCCAGACCTCTATAGCAACAAACAACCCCGATCGTCGGTAGAAGATTTCCTAGATCATATAGCAGCTTACGAGGTCAACTGGTCTTCTCAGACGTCCCCTATCTCTCTCAATGCGAGTACTATACTCAAGCAAGGATCATGAGAAGAAGTGGAAGTAAGACAGCCTGTTCATGGGTAAAGGGACTCACACCATTCACAACCAATGACTCATTGTACCGGGGTGCTCTTTCACTTCATTTCACCGTTGGAACCCCTTTTTCACTTTCATTTTACATTTCCTTTTTTTTTCATTCACTTGGCGGGGGTTCCAACTGCAGTCTTTTGTACGGTCGACCCTTATCAGTCGAGCAAGAGCATTTTCTGTACATCTGGCACTCGCCAGAGTACTTCTTTTAACTCCTTTTCCTCAACTCGTGTGGAGGATCAATGAAATTAAGGGGGGTTGGAAGCTCTATTCGTGCCCTTAATAACACATCCTCGAGTAGGCAAACCGTTCAACGGGTGAAAATTTTACTTGTACTAGAGACAGCTTAGTTTCACCTTGTAGGAGTACCCCCCACTAAGGATTAATAAAATATCTTCCAAAATCCAATTTTGTGCAATGAACGGTGTCGCGCACGTTGGGCTTACCTCATGTTTAAGATTTCAATTATTCCGACATGGAGGACCAACTGCTTTTCGTTTCCCACATGAGCACCTTGTTCGATACACGAGTCCACAACACAATTCAAAAGGAGTCACCAATACCACATGAATTCAACGGTCTTAACTCCACTAATTCACAAAATCAACCGGCACAGTAGAGAGAGAGATAGGAAAAATCTTATACTTCAACATCCTCCATAGTTCTACACTACCTTCCTAGGTTGCACATTACTATAGAGACTGTCAATTCAAAGCATACTGAGCAGGCAATTTGCAAGGAACACGTACTTGGAGCCCTCAAATCGAAATTTGGACAGTGGACTAGGCTCCAAGCACACAAACAGATCTAAGCAGACTGTCCTCAATGGAGAAGAGGGAATGATAAGGGGAACGATGTTACTGGTATGCGCGGACTGCAATGAGACTGGAAGGCGGACCAGTCGGGCTAAGGCAAGGCTAAAGAAGACACAAGCACTTAAGCACAGATATGTTAGGTCAAATGTCAGCCCCATGGTACATCATCCAAAAGAAAAGAAAATAAACCAAACAACGGCCAGTTTGCACTCCGAACCAAAACAAAAAAACACAAAACGAGCAGCGTGTACAGCCTACTCGAGCTCACTGAAGTTGATCTGCCCCATGAGGTCGTCTACCCCATCTGTCGGTGGTGAGTGGTCCCACCGGGTAGTCCAATGGTGTTCCTGTGGCGGGTGGCAAGACTGGAGCAGGTGCTCCTGATACTCCATCATCCGGCGGTTACGATCCCGCTCCTGCTCGATGCGAGCACTGATGACTCCCTGCTGAGCCTCCAGAACCATCATCCGAGAGTGGTAGTCAGCCTGGTGGGCCGAATAGTGCTGGTAAAACTGGACCTGGTGGTCCATGAGCTGCTGGTTCTGGACCCCAAGCTGCTGAAACCGGAGCCCCATCTGGTGGAACTGCTCCATGAAGAAGTCCATAGACGGACCAGAAGCCATCAACGAACCAGAAGGAAAGGAGGAGGGCTCGTCTCGCTCGGGTCTCCGTCGTGGCTGAAGATCCCATTGGGGGGAGAGCGGGGGCTCCGGCTCGTCAGCATCCATCGCACCACCATCATCGTCATCATCCGCGCCGGTGTAGTCCTTGTTCTCATCATCATCTTCCTCATCCTCGTCGGGAGGCATGGACAACCCATCCACCAGGACTCACCCTATTCTAATTCAAACATGCCAGGCAATTCACAGTGCTCGGTCCTAACATCTATAGTCCAATTCTCCAGAAAAAGACCAACTTAAGCAAGAAACACACCTGGAAACCCAAGTAGGACCGTAGAGGGACGCGAGCAAAGGGTGAGGGACGTGGAAAAAGCTCAGAAAACGGCCAGGGAAGGCTCGCCGGAAAGTCGTCGGAAGGTCGCCGAAAAATGGCAACGGCGAGCGGCGGCAGCGGGCGGTGGTCAGCGGCGGCGGAGGGCGGTGGCCGGCGGCGCTCACACGGGAGAGAGGGGGGAGGAAAGAGGGGAAGTTTGGAAAAAATGAGAGGAGAGAGAAAGTTTTGCCCGGGGATTAGCTTAAAAGCAAAATACACGGCCGGGCCTAAAAAATAACCGGTCGGGTATTTCGAGGCTACGATCGAGGCAAAATACCCGGTCGGGTCCTGGCCGCTAGGCCAAAATATCCGGTCGAGGATTTCGATCTCGACCCCCCCCCCCCCCTCTGAACAGAAGGGGTCCGGCCGTGAGGCCAAAATACCAGGTCGGATATTTTGAGTCACGGCCGGGTATTTTCCCCTTCGCGGCCAAATCTCTCTTTTTCTCATTTTTCGAACTCCCCTGCACGAAAACACCAAAATGAGACATACCAGACGACCGAACTTCAGCATAGGCATGCAACTGACTCAAAGACGACACAAAACAAAGAAAAAAGGGAAAAAGAAATGCAAACCGTGGTGGGGTTGCCTCCCCACAAGCGCTTCTTTACCGTCTTTTAGCTGGACGCCCATGGCGGAACTAAGAGTCCGCGAGTTCAACCACCAACTCTGGACGTTTGACCTCATCTCCCAGATAGAGCTTGAGACGATGGTCATTCACTTTAAACGGCTCAGTTTGCGGGTTGGCAATCTCAATCGTGCCATACGGGAACACCTGTGTGACCGTGAACGGTCCAGACCACCGGGAGCGAAGCTTTCCAGGAAAGAGTTTCAGGCGAGATTTATATAGGAGAACTCGATCACCAACCTGAAACTCCTTCGGACCCCTTAACCGAGTGTCGTGGAGGCGCTTAGTGCGCTCCTTATATAGTTTGGTGTTCTCATAGGCGTGGTGACGTCATTCCTCCAGCTCCAGCATCTGCAATTTTTGTTCAATACCTGCAATACTAACATCCAAGTTGAGCAGCTTAAGGGCCCAGAAGGCCTTGTGCTCTAGCTCCACGGGCAGGTGACATGCCTTTCCATAGACAAGCCGGTACGGTGAAGTTCCAATTGGTGTCTTATAGGCAGTCCGGTATGCCCAGAGAGCATCATCGAGCTTGGTGGACTAATCCTTGCAGGACTGATCCACCGTTTTCTCCAGTATACACTTGAGCTCCCAACTCGTCAGCTCGACCTGACCATTCGTTTGAGGGTGATAGGCCACGGACACCTTATGAGTGACACCATAGCGAGACAGTAACTTATCAAATTGGTCCTGGAAATGGGTGCCTCGGTCGCTTATGATGGATCTAGGTGTCCCGAACCGGGAGAATAGCTGCTTCAAAAATCCACAAACACGTCTAATCTTTAGTGGGCAAAGCTTGCGTCTCAGTAGGGGTGGGCAACGGAAAACGGGTATTTGGGTATACCCATACTCGTCCCGTTTTTTAAGGGTTACGGGTACCCATATTACCCGTAATATTATAAACGGATGGGACTTGGGATTATACATTCCTAATATGGGTACCCGCGAATACCCGTTTGGGTAATATGGCTACCCGTTATACCCATTCAATACAAAGGCAGTCCAGCCCAATTAAGAACCCTGGCCATTTCGGCCCTCACCCTTGCAATTTCAATTCCATTTGCCATTTGGGCCCAGGGTCCTTACTCTTTCAGTGAGACTCAGCTTCTCTGCTATAGATTTTAGCTTCCCATGAACCTAAAAATTTGTACACTTTCTGCATTCAACAACACAAGAAAAGTAGCAGCATGCCTCCCATTTGGTTGTGTTGAATGAAACTTCTTATTTGATAATTTGGTACTTGGAATGATTTATTTCTATGTAATGTGATTGTTCATGAATGTGTTATTTGCAAACCGAGTATTTGTGATTGGGATGTATTTTGTGTCTTGTGATTTTTAAGCAAATACAAGTTTAAACTTTTGTTAAAATTTTAGTGGTTTAAACTTTGGGTATTTAAGGGTAGTATGGGTACCCGTTATCCGTCTCGTACGGGAAATGGGTACCCGTTTCCCATATGGGTTTGGGATATGGGATGGACTTTGGTCTCCAAACGGGACGGGTATCCCGTCCCGTCCCGTTGCCCACCCCTACGCCTCAGTCCACCTAGAGACGTAATCAACAACAACTAAGATGTAAGTATTTCCAAATGATGGAGGAAAGGGGCCCATGAAGTCGATACCCCAGGCATCAAAAATCTCATAGGTTATAAATACATTCTGGGGTATCTCATCACGGGCAAGGATATTACCTGACCTCTGGCATCGGTCGCACCTGTAGACACCAGTTTTTGTCCGGGTTAAAGCATATTTAACTAAATAAAATTTAAATTTTTGTTTGGGATTTGCAATAGCAAATTTCTAGCTAAAACGAATTGTAGTGCTTGGGTTGGGTCTTGTCTGCCATAAGTCAATCTCAATTGATACAATCTATTAGTGTCAAATTGACGTGTTTAGATGAATTAGGCCTAAGTTCGATGTTGGGTGTCATGCGAGTTAATTGATTCTTAACACATTGGGTTTTGTGAGAATTGGATCGCAATTCCAAAATACTAAAATGTTAAGTCATAACGATTTTATTAAAATAAATACATTGCTAAACAACTAAAATTTTGGTTACAATACATAATATTTGTAATTAATTACACTACTAATTGCTATTACAAAACACTAATTACAATTCAATAAAAGAAATTGGGCTCAAGTCAAAGCCCAACCAAAGAGCCAACTGTCAACAAAAGTCAAAGCTGACCAAACTGACCCGTTGACCTATTCTGACCTAACCCATGACCAATCTGACCCGAAACCCAAGCATGGTCCAACCAATGACCCAGACCCGGTCAGACCAAAATGGGTACTGTAGCATGCTTGCTGCATAAGCAGCCTCCTTCTATAAAAGAGGCCTTTGGGCACTTACAACGGGGGGACTCCTCTCTTCTTCTTCATCTTCATCTATTGACCATCCCCAAACTGCTACCCTCGAATACACAACAAATAAAAATAACAACAAAAGAGCTTCTCTTCTTCTCTCCCAAACTTCCTGCCGAAAACTTTTCTTCTTCTTCTTCACCCAAACGAATTTCTGCAAAAAGAACAGGGAGCAGGCTTCTTTTTCTTCTTTTCTCGCCTTCTTCGTCCCCTCCTAAACATACAAACAGACGAAAAAGAGAGGGAACTCAATAAAATAATCACTTCCCACTTTTCCCCATCTTATTCAGCTTCTGTTTACCATTCCTACAACAAATTACCATCCCATAATCACCAAAAGCCACACATAAAGAAAAAACACAACAAAAGCAGCAAAACCAGAAAAGGAGGAGACGACGCAAAGACAGCAGTGAGAAGTTTGGAGGGAAGGGCAGAATCACCGTCAAGCTACAAGAAAAAGGTTTGGTAATATAGTAATCCTAAATCTGACCATCATTATCATTCAACATCATCGTTTTTTATAATCTCTACTACTACCTGTCTCTAAAAAATGGTTTCGAGGAGGTATCGACCTAACCAGTATTCAAACAAATTACAAGTTAACCCCAAAATAATCAACAAAACTATGATATGTCGCAATCAAAGCTCTTTTTTTACTATATACATATGGTTATATTGTTTAAAGCTTTTGTATTGTAAACAGAACTATAAGTATATATACTTAACTATGTTCATGTTCTTTCTTATTCCATGATTATACTAGCCCTGTATGTTTAGTTTTGTTCATGTTGGCTTTAATAATTACTAAGTTTTCTTTGTGTTAAGCATACCATCACAAACATACTTAAGCTAAACTACTCACCCTAAGCTACCAAATCAGACCTTATAAACTAGGTTTAACAAGCAAATTAAACCAGCTTTTGTTATAAACTCACCCAAAGCACCCCTCCCAGTATAAACCTATTTTGTTTATAACCTTACACACCAACAACAAACATAATCTTGAAGCAAAAACCAACACACTTCCCAGATTATTAAACTCCCTAAAAGCAGCCATATACATCTCAAAACGCAGGTTTATAAATCCATTCTAAAAGTAATTCAATAGAAATCCATTGAAATTCGTTTTGTTAAGTACATACACAACCCCAATCATCATAAACCACCCATCCATACCAGGTTATCATTTTCACCCAAAATCAAAGTTGATATTTCTAAAACCAGTGTTTGTACTTAGTTTTTGTGTTTAGATTTGTTCCTTTCAATCTTTCTATATTCCACTCTACTTTTTCCTTTAAGCTACTTACAGCTGGTGTTTATTAACATGAACTAAATAAACTAACCAAGTTCTTTAGCTATCTAGAGTCTGCCTTTTTAACTAAAATCATCATCTACCACAACCAAGATTCTCAGAATCAAACTCACCATGAACAACCCACTATATACAAATTTCTACGCTCAAACCCACACCACAAAATTCCAGTTTCAAAACCGCCATATTAACCCCAAAACAAACCTTTCAAAACCCCCATAATCAAATGATCACATCTGAGTTTTCAAACCAAGAAAAATAAAACCCAGAAAATTTACCCCCAAATACCAGTCAAATTTCCAAAACCAAATTCACCCATAAAACCCACAAAAAGGACAGATTTGAGCTCGACCACACCTCAATTCATCAGTTACCAAAACTCATCAATACCACAAATTAAAATCAGAATCACAACCCAGAAAACAATCTGAAGTCAAAATCCCAAAAACAATGACCCTCCAGACTTACCGCGGAGTTTCCACTCGCCTTGTCGCCGTCGCGAGGGTCATTCACCTCTGACGCCGGCGAATCCCTTTTCCTCCACACTGCGGTCACATTTGTTCCTCCGGCGACCCTTTTCTTTCTCTTCCCCGAGACGAGAAGTCACTGACATCGCCCCAAACCTAAAGCAAACAAATCAAAATACAATCGGAACCTTAAACAACATCAAAATCCAAACGAAAGTATACATGCATGGACGGAAACTTACCTAGATCGGTTTTCTTCTGAACGATTTGAGGTGGTCCGGACCATATTCTGTGGCCGGCGACGAGTGGAGAATCGAAATGAAAGGAGAAGGCAGACTGTGGGTTTCTGCTCTCCTTTCCATGGTCGTTTTCTTGTTCAGGGTGAGAGTAGAAACGAGAGAAAGAGAAGGAAAGGAGATCGATGGATGATAAAATTAGGGTTTGCTCCGTTTTGCTTCTCCTTGGTATCAGATCGAGAGAGAACAGAGGAGAGGAGAAAGGGTTTGAGCGGTCGATTTGGGTTTATTTTGGAGTTTAAGAGAGGCATTTGTACCCGGAACAATAATTTGACCAAATTGCCCTTTCTTTTTCCATAAAACTACCCTTTTGCCCTTAGCGAATCCTTCTTACGAAAAATAAAAGGAAATTCTTACCCAGAGTCTCGAACCCGAGGCCCAGAACTCACAACCCGCCTCAAGACAGTGAAATTAGCCACTAAGCCATATCATTAAACTTGGAACTATAATCTCCTCATCCCAATTTATTATGTTTAAGCTTAATACGCAATATTTGTACTAACATCGTTGCTTTAACCAAATTATGTCTGCCTCTAAATATTTCAAAATATTAAAAAGCTTGGTTACCACATTTGCTTTGGCTTCATGATTCATACACATACTCGTTTTACTTAGAAACTCTCTTAACACGAATCATGGTCAATAGACTATGATAGTCACTCTCGATGAAACCATTTAAAAATTATCTTACCACTCAACTACTAAGTTGAAACGTGATAAATACATTTCCTAACAAATCAAATTGTTATCTTAATCACGATCAATAGAACGTATTAAGATCACATTTAAAATCTCTCAATTTCAATCGAACTACGTGGACTTTGATCCCGACTACTCGGGTACGTAGGCAACCAATAGGTTCGAGTCCAACTAACCAAAAACTCTTTCTTTAATTTTGAGAATTATGTCAATAGACGTATGATCAAATATTAATAACTATCTAATTAACCAAATCATAAAATTAAATACATTAATATAGCCGCAAATAATAATACACCCAACCCTTAAAAACTTATCGATTCACGTAGTACCCACTTGGGGCGTTGTGGGGTGTGAATACATTTCCCCACACGTATCCGTACTCCCGAACTTAGGAAAAACTAAAATTCGCAGACCAGATTTCTGGTTTTAACCTAAATAACAAAACCAGAAAAGGTGTTCGACCCACCCCAAAGCGCGGTCGATGGCGACTCCGATCAGTTCGCAACGGTCCCCCGATCGCGAGGGGGCGGTTGCGACAGTGGCGACTCCGCTGGGGACTAAAGAGAGTCAACTACATTAACAATCGATAAGCATTTTCTTACTTTCTTAAATGGGTGTTATGTGTTTACTATATCAATTTGCGCCTTTAATTTATGATGTATTCGATTTATTGCATCCATGCATAAAGCTCTATTCCCGAGCTATCCTTGTAGAAAAAAAGGAAGAAAGTAGTGTGACTCCTACAATAGTAGGGGAAATACGAAACTTCCCAACCTGGTTGAACTCAAATCCGAGGATGATTTGAGGTATCATGCTAAACTCGAAAGGGTTACAGTGTGGTACAACTTGGGAGCCTGATTCCTTAAGATCCCTATCCAGCATATAGTTTACCTAAAAACTACCTAAACCGCAACTTATCCCAGAGCCTACCAAAAAACACAATTTTATGCTGCCGAAATACCCTAGGTTTACCTCAATAAGGCAAAGTTTGTGAAAGAGTTTATCTTATGATCAGTTCTTGTCTTGCTTATACGTGTAATGTATGTTCTGCAAATCATTCGTAAATGACAGAGATTTATTTGTATGTGTGAAAATATTTTAAACTCATTACACCATCATTTCTTCATTCATTCATCATTTTAAAATTTGTACAAAGTGCATGTGCATCCACTGAAAAGTACTTTGTATTTACAATCATATCATTGAGCATAACCCACCATGAATTCATCTCATTTACCACCATGAAACGAGTTAACAAAATTGGGATTCTCTAAGGTTGCTCATCCACGAGGATAACGTCAACCCCTTAAGTACTCGACTGAATCGAAGGCTAAGCCTAGTATGGAGTCAATCCATAAGGAATTGGAAGACATCAAAAGAAGGGTGATGGGACTCGAAGACATGAAAGAAGAGGTTAGCATGATCTTGAACATATTGACCAACAAGGGGAAGGCGCTAGAAGTCAAAGATGATGATGCGTCGTCTAACCACAAATACTTATACCAGCAACATGACAAAGCGGCAACTTTAGAAGCCTCCAAAAAACATGGCAAACTTGGAGAAGAGAGAGATCTCTTCATTCAAGGGGAACCATCAAAAGAAAGAAAATGGAGTCACTCACCTAAAAACAATCAAGCTCACTCACATGTCACAAACAATATACCAACAATTCAACAACCAAACTTCACTCCACAACTAGGAATCCAAATTCCGTTGTTCGAGACTCCACAACCAAATAAACAAAACCAAAACAGTGGTGGGAGATGCAGAAAAATCATTCAAATCAATCCCATTCCCATAACATATACCGAGCTTTTTCCACAACTAGTCCAAAGTCATTTAATTGCTCCTATACCATGCCAACAGATACAACCTCCCTACCCAATTTGGTATAAGCCAGAGCAACATTGTCACTACCACTCTGGAGTAGCGGGACACTCAACGGAGGATTGTAGCAGATTAAAGATAAAAGTGCAACAAATGGTAAATGCCGGTTGGTTGAAATTTGGAGAAGATCAAGATCATATCGACAACAACAAATCGCCTCATGGGGGTCAGTAGACATACCACAAGACAAAGCTCGATTCCAAGAGTGATAGCAAATAAATCTCGAGATACTTTACTATGTTGACTCGATGTATCAACCTTTATTTTTATAATGAGGAATAAAAGATCGCTCGCATTTTCACATATTTGGAACATTTCGTGGCTATTATCAATCTTGATTTTAGGTTTTGCATCAATGATTCTCTTTTCAAAATGATTGCATCTCTTCCAAATATTTTTTTTAATTAACTTTGCTCCTCTAAAAATGGGAACCTTAAAACTGCATTTCATGTTTCAAGTTAAGCCATGAGATTTTCATATTAAGCCAATATAAGCACCCCACTGGTGTCAAATGATTATAAACACTTTGTCGGTGTCAAGAATTTTCGCACCCCATAAATATTCAGAGAGTGCACCCTACTAATATCGAGAGTTTGAACACCCCATCGGAGTTGAGTGTGTAAACACCCCACTGGTGTCCACAGATTATGTGAGCTTAATAGTCAAAGGGTGTGACGGGGATACGACACTAAGCTACTTGTAGAAGTTTGTCACTACCATAACCGGTCTTCCCTATCAAATCATGGCTCGGCTAGATAGGAGACTGAGTAGCCAAATTAAGATCCACAAGAAGTGAGATGCCAACATCAAAATAGCCAAGTTTTCACGAAACCATCGTAGCCAAAAGATTGGGGGAACTTGAATAATCATATTTGACAAACTCGCATAATGAGTTGTGGGATGGATAAACATAAATCATTTCAATTCTTTTGAATGCTGACATCTCCCAAAATACAAGGCTTGAGCAGAAGAACTACTCAAACAGCACGACAAAGACTCGACATCAATGATATGTCTTCTTCCCGAGAGGATGGCCAATTTGCCTAGCCAACAAGAAGGACCACTCATATAGATCGATATACAGACAAATCACTTTGAAGTTGGTACACAAATCAGAACAAGCAAAATGACACTGTGTATGGGGGCATAACAAAGTCAAGTAAGTCCCGCACAAAAAATCAAATAGGAAGCCAAAAGAGGCAAGAAAAAGAAAATCAAAAGAAAAAACAATATGGGACTTACACGTCAGATGCCCCTACAAGAGCGCTTGAAGTTACACCCATTCAAACTCACCACGAGTTACTAGTTATCTTCACCAAAAGGCCAAAAGGGTGACTCCAAGTATACCTTCGATGTAGTCACAAGAGCACCGTGTAGGGTCATTCTCTCAATCAACAATATATATTACACTCAAACGGGGCTAGCCATCAAGGTAACCAGCTTTCCAGATCAAATAATGTTTGCCTCCCAAGTTAGAGGAAATAACGCTAGAAACCTCTAACGAGAAAGATTCTCAAGACAAGAATGTCGTCATCAACTAAGAAGACATCCCATGATCATCCTTATTTCAATTGAATTCCCGCTCCTCAAGATAAGCAAGACCTTCAACATTCATCACTTCAAAAACAGTTCAAATCTGCATCACTCGAAGACCTCCTTCATCCATCAGTTCGCCTTATACTTTGGGGGCAAGCCAAATCTCTCACAAGAAACTTTACACGACTAAGAATAGAAGTATCATTTATCCATCACTCATATGGGAAAATTTAGATTCCCAAAGGTTGAGAACTCTTACAGTTAGAGTCTTACCAAACAAGACTCTCATTTCAGAGAAGTGCAAGAACTTTCACCATGAAACCATATAAGGATTTCCCAAACTCTACCCAACCAGTTTATACCCCAAGGACATTTTTCCATCAAAACGGTGACAAGAATCTTAATAGTAGCTGAAATGTCGTAAACTCAAAGCACCCATAGGAATGAGTGAGAGCGAAACTGAGAGTGAGAATGAGAGGGAAGGCTTATGGATATTCTCATGGCTTGACTAATAAAACAACAGATTTTAAATAATGTGGAAATAACCACACGAGAAACATTTCTGCTCAATTTGCACACACTTCTCATAAGCAAAGTTCACAAATCTGGTTCCCATTATACTTTATCAAACAAGATTTTTTAAACTTTTTTGCATTCATCTCAAGTCAAGATTGATAAAAACCACTCCTTGTTCCTGATTCTAGAAAAGTGAGTATCAGAACCTTGGGGCAAGAATGATGTGATCTAAAAGAGGAGGAAGTTCAAAAGGCCCATGAAGCATATCCCCCTACCTTTCAGCTCAGAAGTAGATGGGTATATCTCAGAGACTTTGGATCACACACGATTCATTGAACTCAACTAGTCAGTCAAATTACCCTTCAGAGACTTTTCTAGAAGGGTGAACTCGAACTCGATATACAATGACTATCATACGAAGTGCACAACTCAAGTCTAGGCGTGAGAGACCCTAGATTGGCCACAAGAAAGCTGAGAGCCGACACTACCATGACATACCTCAAGATGAAAGTACATAACATTGGGGGCAAGAGTGGTTTAACATAGAAGATGAAGAATGTGAAATTCTCACC